GACTGATAAGTGGAGCTCCTTTGTGATTTTATGCAGAACCATAAAAATAGATGAAGCGCAGTGTAATTTGTCCCCTGCCTCCTTAATCAATCTTGTATCTCCTTCAGTTACTGAAGAACTTGCTCCTGTTCCTAGGGAATTTGGAAAGATGTTTAGGATCAGCTTTGCTGTAGTCGGGACTTGCTCTATGTGTCTGATGAAGTTAGCATATGTAAAATGAGGAAAGTATGCTAATTCACTCCTCATTATGTTACTGAGACAGGAACCCTGAGCAAATACAGCATTAATAATATCAAGCTGTGCTGCTTCTGTTGTTAGTTAGATGCTATAGGAAAAGATCAGCAGTTAGCATGACACATTGCTAAGCTTTGAAAAGGACACGTCTGAGTTCAGTACTCTATTTTTTTTAGATTTATGTCTCAATTCTTCTGTACCTTGGAATCTAAAATGGCCCCACAAATGTGCAGTTTTCTTCCAGAAAGGGTGAGGCTATCATATCTTTGTTGGACACAAAGGAAGAAATGGAGTGTAGTGTTGGGAGATCTTTTTCTGTAATTGCTGTTTCAAGTTAATAAATATATGCTTTGTTCTACATACTGTGATTCAATTGTTAAATGCAGTGCATTGTTTTGTTTATTATTAAGAGGAAGACCTCTAGAATTACTGAAAGGGTAAAAGTTCAACCTGCGATTTTGAAACTTTTTGGAAAGTCATTTCCTCATATTGCTGTTACTGTTCTGAAATAGTTTTCAAAAAAATGTGTTTTCCTTAGCGGTAATTTGTAGGCAATAATGGCAGAGGGAAAACAACATGCATTATGTGTGGGAGTAATGAAGATGTCAGCTGAGGACATGTAAGTGTTTTAAAAATTGAAATATAACCTGTCCCACGTCATTATTCTTATGTTAGTTTGGAATATAAGCACCACTGTCAAGGTTACTGCATCAGTGTTGCAACATACGTCATTCAAGCACAGAATTTTTTAAGATTTCATTTTCTTGATTAATATTT